CTACACACACCTAGTTCTTAAATCTTCTTTAAAAAGAGGTCTAAAAACATTTTAAAATGTCTGCCAAGGTTTTTTCCTTCGCTATTAAGCATTCCCATTGTGCTTCCCCCTGCCTTCTCAGATGTCTGGCTCAGCTTCTCCTTCACGGTGAGGAGCTAGTTGCCAGTCTGTGTGTGTGGTGTGCCCTTCACTGCCGTATCTGGCCTTCTGTTGCTCCCTTGGAACAAAAGCTATTCTCCTAACCCTATCTCCTTGAGCATCTTAACACCAGATGCGTGCACTACCACAGCACAGGATGTTTCCTGCAGTGTTTGCTGGGACTGCCCTCTGTTTAGCTTTGCCAGAGATGGAGGAATGAGTGAGAGTGTTACACAGCTAGAAAGCTGGTGGGTGGGAGATTAGGCACTGTGTCTTAGAAGCACCTTTTCAGGTAGAGCTTTACAGGGGGCTCTTCTGAGCTTTGTAGGTCCCTATGACCAGCAGCTGCTAGAAATTCTCCCTGCCAGGTTGCAGAAGACAGGCTGGGTTCACACACACAGCTTGCTGGGACAGGATTTTGCTTTTGTAGTAGCGCTCTGAAAGTACTTCGGTATTAAGAAACGTGACCCTACTTTGCTCCACAGCTCTTTCATACTCCGGAGCAGCTGGGTGGAACACAGCAGTAAAAGGGAAAATCAATTTTGTCCTTCATGATGTTGTTGTTGTTTAACAGGTACATTCAGGATGCCACCACAGCCACCTCTTGCACGAATCCCTGTCGTCTTCCTGAGCAGCTCATTAAAGTCATTAACAGGCCCCGGGACAATCTGCAGGCTTTTCAAGAGGAGCTGTGCTTGTAGCTGGGAATACAGCAGCGCTCTAAGAGTTAAACTGCAATGACCTGCAACAACACAGATCCAAAAGAAACAGGAATTTGATACAGCTCAACATCTTCATTGTACTTTGTTATTTACCATACACAGCCTCTGCCAGCTGTAGCTGATCTTCTGTTTCAACCTCGGAACAGAAGAAGGGACTGTATTTTGTATTTATTGGGATTTTTGCTTCAATATATCCCCATAGCAGCCACCTTCCACCTCCTCCCATGCCCGCACCACGTGAAAATGGCCGTGCAGGCAGCACTTCATAGGAGTCATCGCTGGGAAGCAAGGACAAGCAGCGGCAGTTACTTCAGTGGGAAACTTGGAGAGGTTTCCTTTACTAGGTCAGAAGGAGCAGCCCTTAAATAGTCCACCCCTGAGTGTGCAGAAGGTTCGGCACACGTTGGACCTAGATATTTCCATCCAGCTATTATCTGGGGAGATACGCTTAATAGAACCTTTAGTTTTTCACTTGGATCGCATTACTGAACACTTGTGAGTGAGTATAGGGAGTAAATGGAGAAATGGGGTTGTGGGAGACGATAAGGAACACCTCTTCCCTGCCTCCTCCATGTATCCAAAATCTGCGTGCACAGATTCCCAGGGCAGCCTGGGCTGCTGCAGTGCTCCCACGCTGGTCCAGAACTTGCAAGCTGACTGTGTGGTTTTGATGCCGTGTTAGCACTGAAACGAAAAAAAAGGCTTTCAGCTTCTTTTTTCTGGTAGCTGAAGCGCTACACGTACCCCAGGGGAGGTACGGCCGCTCGCGGTGAAATTACGCCGCAGGCCAGCTCCTCGGTCACCCGGGGCGCCGGTTGGAAAACACGCGTGGGGACCAGAGCGGTATTGTTACCCGTGCTCCTCCCGCTGCTCTCCCGTTATGTGGCAAACCTTCTTCTTTCCAAATGAGCCTTTTTTCCCCCCTGTCCG